TTACTTGTTCAAGAGGTTCACTCAATAAATGTTCCTTCTGTTGAGATCCCTTGTCTAATCAGAGATAGCAGCACAAATCCAGAGAAAAGTTTTGCTGGAACTTGCAAGTATCTCATTTCTTTTTTAACACAATCTTCCATTAATCAGATCTTTATGCGTAATACTTGCAATTTATGCATTTAAATGACAAGATCTAATCATGGGTATGACATTCCCACAGATAAGATGGCTTTCTCCTGTAGAAAGAATTTTACAAGCAAATAGTAATTTTCTTACTTTGGGCCTGTGAGATGATGACATTCTCCAATAACTAAGCATCTCTGATATCTTATGTCAGCAAACAAACTCATACTATATTTCTGGAGCTCTGGGATAGTTTTGAACCCCAGGGCCACTGATATTCTAGAGAGAACACTGTAAATGTCTACTTACTAGAAAATTCTGATACTAAACATCTATACTCTTCGGACATGTCTTCAATACAGGGCAGATCAATGGGGCAATGATGGATCTAGCAGCAAGTCAATTTATTGCATCTATTGCACACATGATAATCAACTGCCAGTTGCTCTCCTGTTGGCTCTGGTACCCCACCTGAACAAGTAGAGTTGAGGTGAAAATGGGAGAGCTTTTTTTCTGTCAACCCAGTGTGGTGTGGACCCTACATAAGACGACCTAAGATACTCTACTAATGTAACTCAAATTGACGTAACTGAAATTAAGTAACTTAGATCATCCTGTCCCCATAACGTAGACCTGCCCTGACAAACAGAATCTAATACTATACTTACAACCAAGAAAAAGGAAACCTAGCAACTGGCAAATATTTAGAATGCCTGTAATGAAGCAGGATTAATGTTTTTCTCCACTGTTTTGTTCAGAACAATTTTTTTTTATACCAAAAATAAAGCTCCTAAAGCACCCTCAGGAGCAGAATTCTGATAACTAGAGATGTGATCAAATATACAGATCTTCAGACACATACAAGAGGTTAAAATCCCACTAACGTTAAATTGATGAGGAAACTGCTTTTAGATTAAATATTTTCTAGATTTAAAATCCTGGAATACGAAGCATTACTGAGAATTTTGGGATAAAGGGGATTACAGTAATAATTTCAGAACTCCCTGGAGTTCTCCTGAGCAGCTCCCTGTCCCCATCCTCGTTCCCTAACCCCCCGCTGTAGGGAGAGGCTGCCCCATGCAACTGGAGCAGCTCCCATCTGTTATGGGCCAGCCTGGGCCCCCTGCCTCAGGATATAGATAACATTACAGATGTTAAATGTATATTAATTAGTGATGTAAAAAGTCGTTTAAAACAGTAACCGTGTAACCACTGAAAATCTTAGCAGTTATATGGTTACACACTCTGTGGGCTCTTCAGTATAAAACTTATTTAAGCTTTATACTACAGAGCCCACAGCACATGTAACCGTTAGAATTTTTAGTGGTTAAATGGTGATATTTTTGAATGATTTTTTACATCCCTCTATCAACTGTAGCAAAAGTAAGGATGTTAATTCACTTTTTTGAGTAAACGTGTGACTGACTGACATTTTAGTGTTTGCACATGGAGTGCAGGCAGGAGCCAGTGTTCATGCGGAGCCATCTTGAAAGCCAGCTTTCTGCACATATCATCCCCCACCTGTCGTCCCGCTCCTCTCCCCCCCGCCCCCCTCCACACACAGGGTACGTCTAGATTACATGCCTCTGCCGACAGAGGCATGTAAAATAGGCTACCCGACAAAGTCAATGAAGCAGGGATTTAAATATCTCCGGCTTCATTAAAATAAAAATGGCCGCCATGCTGTGCCGGCTCAGCTCATCGTCAGCACACCGTGGCAGTCAAGACGCGGATCGGTCGACAGGGAACACCTTTGTCGACCACTCCTGTAAACCTCGTTTCACGAGGCATAAGGGTGACTCCCACCCTGTGCTGACAATCAGCTGAGCCGGCACAGGGCGGCGGCCATTTTATTTTAATGAAGCCAGAGATATTTAAATCCCTGCTATGTCAGGTAGCCTATTTTATATGCCTCCGTTGGCAGAGGCATGTAATCTAGACGTACCCACACACTGCTGCCTCTCTATTAGAGGCAGCAGCATGGAGAGCGAGGCAGGCAGCTCCACAGGAGCCGGCTCCCACATCTTTCCCTCCTTGCTGCCTCTGATATCAACAGTATCTTTTAATTTTTATTTTGTAATCATAAACCTCTATTTAATATATTTGAGTTCCTCTGATTTAATGTGTATTCTCTCATTTGTAATTGACTGCTGAAGTGATTAAAGGTGCAGAATCCGCACGATTCATTCATAAAATTAACACTGTTAAGTAGATAATGTTCAGTTCTACATGATACATTTATGGGTTGGGAGAAGAGACGAGAAGTAGTAGTACAAACCCACTTAAATTTGTGTCTATATCTTGTCAAATCCTCAATATATGGACATTCCTAAATACAGTGTGGGGCATTGGAAACCTGCTGCCTTGAAAAAACATTTAATATGTTGCAGGATAACACTTCCACTAGCTGGAGAAAATCAATGCCTACTTTAAAAACATCTTTCTGATCTCCAATGTATATGATCTTAGGAGAGATAAAAGTACATTCAAAGTGGGACTAAACAGGGAGAAAATAGCGAATCTCATTTCAGCCAATCACTGATTCAGTTTCTGTTCTTGTCATTTGCACAAAATACATAAATGTTTACATTTCCCCCCTAAATGTTACATAACTGATAAAGCAAGAAAACTAAGGACAATATGCCTAAGGTTTCATGGATTAGATTTTAATCGGTACATGCCAGTAAACATCAATTTCAAAATATACAAACCAATGAAAAATGTTGCTTGTTAACTTAGAGTTTGATTTAAGGATATTTTTGTCTGATATTTTGACATATAATGTTAACAACTTTCATCTTAACAGTTATAATCCTTTAACTTTGAATCTCAACATCAACTGTCATTAAATAATTGTCTAATGCACCCATAATTGAGAATTTGTGAAAATTTAAATACAAATGAAGACCTTCAAATCCATAATACTGACCAAGAAATTATACTGATGAAAAATTAAATAAACTCTGAAAAATAAACACTGTTATTATCCAGTAAAAATTATAAATAAAATCAAATTATTCCAAGCCTAAATATTCCTATACAAAGTAGGCAAAAGTATTTCTATTAAAAACAAAGCTGCCCTTCTATGTGTACACTGAATATTAAGCATACACGAAAACAAAAACATATCATGACACTCTCACAAAAGAGGGAAGCAAGATCAGTCAAAACAGCAAATGTAAAACAACAGACGTATTTGTGGTGTTTAAGGGATTGTCCTTTAAGTGAAAAAATGTTAAGTGTGTGAGGGTTGGTGAAAAGACTCATTTTGACAGCCCAAGATACTGGAATCTTCTATTCATCCAGGTCAGGTACCGCACAGGCAGCAGCAGTGCAAGCTTCCCCCTAGCAGTGCCTCACCAATGTCTCTCAACCCTGACCTGGAGGGACCACCTCTAGGGTTGAAAGGACAGCTCAGTCTGCAGAGCCCATTCAGCTGAGATTACCAACAAGGAGGACAAACTGTGGTGGTGGTGGTTTTATTATGTGGACACCTGTCCTCTAGGAACTGGACTGAGATCAACTTATTTCACAAAGGCCAGTGAAGAGCTTTCCAATGATAATAACTTTTAGTCACTATTGAACTGGCCTATATTCAAGACAATGCCCTACCAGAGACTAAAAGATTCTGCACCCGCTAAGTCTGTGCATGCACATGTGTGGTTAAGTTACTAATTAGCAATTGTTAAGCATGTCCCAATAAAAGTGTATGCATGTTGTTGTAATCATTCAGTTCCAGGATATTGGAGAGACAAGGTGGGGGAGGTAATATCTCTTCCTGGACCAACTTCTGCTGGTGAGAGAGAAGCTTTCGATCCACACAGTTTTACAAAAGAATAACCTTCCCGGATTTGATGAGGAGTTTTGTGTGGCTAAAAAGCTTGTGCTTCTCACCAACAGAAATTGGTCCAACAAAAGATATTACTCACCCACCTTATCTCTCCGAATAAGAATTAATTTTTTTATTCCCATCCCACAGCAACTGGGTTGTGGGTTTTTAAATTTCTCTTTTAAAAAGAAGATGGATACTAAGTTATCATACATATTCAGGCTGGCCTGTGGGATAAAAATTATAGGTGAACAATTGCTCGGAGGAAAAAAAAGGGGTTCTGAATAGCAAATAAATACAATTTATGCAGAAAAACTAATTCCTACTGTTGGTATCATGGAAATTCAACTAAAATGAGCAAAATATGTTCTTATAATGGTCTAGTCAATGTGATTAACATCAGCTTGAGCTTACTGTCAAAAATGTTCAGAATATTAGTTGTTGTAAAACTAATGCTGTCAACCAATCTTTACAGGCTGTTATGCAACTTGAACAATGGTATATCATTTCAGAACATGAATATTTACAATCTCCCTCAAATTGGTTAAAATAGTTCTATATTCAAAAAGTAAACAAAAAGCAGTTAGTATGTTATTTTTAAAATACAGTTATTAAATATTTCCAATAGAAAATATTTACTTGCCAGGTAATGTAGTCGTGATTTAATTTCCTTAAACAAATAGCAAACTATGTTAAATATCCACAAGACAACTGCCAACATTCCCCTAAATTCTTAAGGGATTCTCAGCATTAATCATCCTTAGAATATATTAAATTGGTAACATTTAATTTTAAGCTTCCAAATCTTGTTTAAAAATAGAACAAAATACATTTTGACTGCTGCCAATATAAAGTTCTAGCTTTTAAACTTTTTTGATGGTGCTCATAAAATCCCCAGGAAAAGGGGATATTGCAACTATAATTTGCACTTGGGTGCTTTAAATCACAGTCAAACAGACAGAACATCAAGAATGGTATGGTTTTTATTTTCTGCAGCAGTTTTATTGACAAGATTTTTTTCTTGTAAAGTTTGAAAATCTAACACTACCTGTCCACATAGAAGGGGAAACAAAACTTGGTCAAAGTCTGTAGAACTTCCTGTGGAGAGAAAAAGAGATAATTTATACATCTAATGGGACCAATAAATCTAACATTAACCACAGCATATAATCTCACAATTTTGCCCTGAAGAAACAATAGACAGATGAAGAAATATTTGTTTTATCAATTACGTGGAAGGAGTACCAGGCAGTCAATCATGTGAAATAATAAACATGATCAAACTTCATTAAAAATGAAAAATTAATCAAGATTCACACATGGGTAAGCAGCAGGAGCCATCCAGCAAAGCTCCAAAGGGAAGGAGGAGGTTGGGTTGTTGAGTGTTAACACCCCTCTGGGGACAATCTCTAGCCTGACCATATGGATCATAGTGAATAACACCAAACCACATGGGTTTGGCCTGGCAGGACCGCTTCTGCTGGCACAGCTTTTGCTTGTTACCTAGGAACAGGGATCTGTGGGATTAGAAAATGCTTCCCAACATCAATAGGTCAAAAAAAAAAACCCCAAAACAGTCTACTGGTCTAATAGTAAACGGTAAAGAAAAACTATGCATTAGTAAGAAAGCTTCAAGTGTGAAAGGATTTTATCAGAATTGCTTATTTATACATTGCACTTTAATAATGCAAACAAAGCTTCAGCCCTGCATGAAGTTTTCATGTAATGTTTAATTATTAAAAATCTCAGATCATTAAACAGAAGCATTGTCATAAAATGGGCAAAAGTAGAAAGTTGTTACAAGATTTTCAACAACTCATAGGCAAAAAAATCTCACATATATATATACACTCTGTTTCAAATTGAAGCTAAAAGAAAAAAGCTTCTAGTTTTGAGATTCAAATATGAATGGAAAGAGGATGGTCAGTGAAATTGAGATTACATTAAATACAATACTTTCAAAGCAAGAATTCCCTAACAAAATCCACCAAAATGTTTACTAGTTTACTAACTTTTTCCACAAGCCATTTCATTGCCCAGCCTCGAATCTCAAAACTAGATTTTTCTTTTTTGCTTCAAAATGAAACAAGACTGCCTAAGGCAAATCCCAGCCAATTTGATAAATAAAGGATCAATTTACAAATGCAGAACTTTTGTGACCAATAATAATGAATTATCATTGCCAACTGAATTGATGCTTCTTGCTTCATTTATTTTTAAAACCAATTCCCTCATTGAACAAATAAACCACATCAATCTAATAACTGATTCAATGAAGCAGAAAGCAAATTGACTTCCCCTGTAAGAACATGTTCCTTCTACATAATTCAATTGAACATATTCTTTACTATAGTTTCAAGCTTAATTTTTTATAGTGAACCCTCCTGGAGGTTTCTTGATAACTAAAAATGTGGTAAATTATGACCTAAGATGAATTCAGGTAGAGACTGATAAAGGAAATGTATTTTCTTGCTGTATGATTGGTACAAATATTTAACATTTTCTTTCAAGGGTGGAATCAGTGCTAATCTCAATAAGACACCTACAGAGAAACCCCAGCTTCAGGTTTGGCCCCAACTTTTGAAAAATACTAAGCATAAAATGTCACCTGTTGGTATAAATGATTTATAAAATACTATCTTGATTTTGTTAACTAAACCATGCAAATGGTTCCATGCTTGTACAGAGCTTACTGTCTTCAAGGGACCCACCTGTGAAGATCTGATAGCAGGATCTGACCCTGAATTTGCTACCTTGCTTACACATTAAAAAAACCAATGACTTCCAAATCTAACTCTTGCACACTTGCCCTAAATATTACACAAAACCCATAGCCATTACATGAAGTATAGCAAATCTAACTTGAGTGCTGACAGGTTCAAAATTACAATGGCAAGGGACTAGACTGCCTGTACATTTATTGGCCTTATTAATTGATAAAAAATTCTGCTTGGCATAATAACTGCATTTGCAAAACTACTAGTTTTTAATAGCAAGAACACTGCAAGGTCGCTAGAGGGAATGTTAATATAGAGCAGTGTTAAAAGATAATAGGCCAGGCTTTTTAAACAGCTCATCATAGTTACCCTCATATGGTAGAATATAATGCTTTCTATTACCATGCTGAAATAAAATTTAATATTTGTTATACTTGCAAAAACAAATATCCACATAATAAAATAACATGTTTGTAACATACTTCACCATATTATCAGCATTGTGTTACTACAGGGACAATGCAACACAAATCATTCAGAACCTAATTAGCACTTACTTCTTGATACTGCGTATCTTCTAAAGCACAGAATTAAAATTAAAATCTCACTTGTTAGAAAATGTGCCCAGTCTGCATTGGCATATGTCATCATCATTCTTGTGTAGCTTTGTAGTAATAAATAATCACTATCATCATCTAACTCTTACAGCATTTTGCTGCCATAGATCTCAAGTTGCTTTATTAGGTATAAAGGATAAGATCTGTCACACATTATATAATATATGCATTTCTTTTACTACAGTTAGAGGGTGAGGACTGTCCACTAACGTGTTTAAATTTAAAAACACACAGATAAAACTTTTTAAAAATCTTCATAACGAGTGAAGTGATTACATAAAACAGTTTCAGTTTCCTAAACCAATGGTTATTTAAGGTGCAAAGAGTAAGAATATTAAGAGTTCTCAACATTTTACCTGGAATTACATATTGATTACTATATATTTATTAGTGTATATTTTGTACATTGCTGAGTTTAAAAATCACTAATGCTCATGTGAAAATAAATTCCCCAAAGAGTTGTTTTTGGTGTATGATTATTTGTGGCATAACCATAGGAGGACCAAAATCTCTTTAGAATCCCGACAGACTACTGAAGAAAGCTTCAGAGGAGTAGCAGAGTTAGTCTGTAACTGGAAAAAACTTGAACAACAAATAGTCCTGCAGCACCTTGAAGACTAACAAAACATGTAGATGGGATCACGAGCTGTCGTGGGCCCAACACACTTCTTCAGATGAAAAAAAAAGAGTACTGAAGAAAGACAAAACTAGCATTTCTTGTAAAACGTGCTTTGCTTTATAATTTCTTTTAAGGTGACATGCAAAGCAACAGAGGTGATATCAAGAGCCTTGTTTCCTTATTCCCCTTCCTCACATCTATGTTCCAATAGAAAAACTGCTTAAACTCCTCCTTATCCCTCCCTACCCCCTACTGTCCAAGAGCTTAAAAAAAATACAGAGTGGATAAAATGTAAATGACTCAACAGCTAAAACCAAGGTCTCAAGGGCATCAGGTGCCAGTTTTCTGGATCAATCTCCAAGTATATATTTTCACAATTCCTTTTACATGTGGTTTGATTTTTAACATTTTAATGAGGAAAAAGTGCATCGATAGCAGCCAGTTACTACAGTTAAAGTGCAGGGCATGAACTGTGTCCCATGAGGGATTTAGCCTAGCTGTGTCACCACTGGCTTTAGGACATACACCACCTGGTTCCATGTCCCCAGGTTCCAACTCTTTTCATAATCAAAACACTGCTGACATTATAAACCCCGTACGGTTTTTCTAAAATCCTCTTCAATCAATACAGCCTACACACAACTTACTGGAGACAACACAGAGCTCATTGATTAAGTTTGGTTTCAGAAGCAAAGTTTCAAAATAAATGAGACAAGCATACAGCATTCAGCCCTTTTGTACTACAGGGCAATTTATGAAACAGGCAGTCTCTGAACTCCCCACACTCCAGTAATACTTAAAAGTGTATGGGAAATAAGAGTTACTGGACACTGAAACATGTATTTGTTCGATACTTGTAATCAATGCTTATATCTTACACTATTTAATACAGTGAAATGAACTCCCTTACATGCAATAAGCTGGCATTTGCTGATGAAAATACTTGTTTGATCACCTGTGAATTTTAGTATATGCTTACTGCATATACTGTATATTTATTCAGACATTTGTGAGCACTTCATTGTATGCTCACTTTTCACTCTCCTTGCTTCCTGGCCAGGAGAGCAGGCAGGCAGCTCTCCAGCAGAAGGAATGCTGGCACTTCCCAGACTAGTATAGAGCACTCCAGCTTCCCTTCCAGCATTCAGCTTCTCAACCATCAGATGACAAAGCCAGGTGACATTCTAAATTATAATTTTATCTATCACAGTCCTGTCTGGAAGGGAAACTTTGAAGGCTGAATTCAATTAAGTTAATTGGAATAATTAAAAATGAGATAGAACATTTCACACTGGTTGTGTGCATATGTGGAGGGAAGGGGTTAGAAGAGAATCCTGCAAAGATAATCCCAGGTAACATAACTACCTTGTGTTTTTCTACTGTCGTCTTTTCCCAGAGTCATTGCTAATGCTTTACAAACAGGCTTAACTTCTTTATTTCTCCATCCAAACAAGAGCTAAACAAAATTATTTTCTAGTTTAATAACTACCAAACTAATCTGCACTGAGAAAACTACGCTTTATGAACGGTCATTATGCCTTTGCAACAACTAATGCTAATAACGTTGGGAAAAACATTGACAGAACAACAACTCAAAGGACACCACTGCAATGAACTAAACAAGATAAAGGAATTTCCAAGTTAATGTTGAAGCTGTTGTGAGATTGCTGTCTTGTGCTTACTCATGGATGGGTCTCTGAGCTGCATTGCTTACTGGTACCATGAGTGCCGCACACACTGTAGTGGTCTCAACAGGGATTTTAACATTCACTCTATTTCTTGGGGTTGTGTCACAGTTTTTATTTGACTTTGTTATGGATTATATATAAGGGGTGGGTGGGGACATAAAATAACACCATTTAATAGCAAAAAGGGCAGAGTGAGCTCAGGAATCAGGACAAACCATTGTGAAACTGATGTCTCTTTGTGTAGATTCTTGCGTTAGTACCCTTCCTATCTAATTGCTATCCTATGATCCTTATCTGCTTCTTTTAACTATCCAATCTTTAGGTGCTTATATGTTACCAGCCCTGCCTACTTGTTTTTCCCTTTTATATTTTCATACCCTCTGCTCCTTGTTTCCCCCCCCCCTTTCCTTCCCCCGCCCTTTCCCTTCTCCCCTATTTATTTTGGGTCTGCACATCC